AAAAGTAAATATAAAAGTGTTCTTTGATATTACTAGATAGAGAGGTTCCATTAAACTATAGATAACAAGTCATTCTCAGCAAGATAGGATATTCAATCTCAATAACAAATATCATCATTTGTCTAAATATGGAGCCTTAATAAATGGTTTGCATATTTTATGTGAGAGACTTGTGAGTCTATTTTTAAGATGTCTTGATTATTAGAGATAAATTAATCTAAAATAAAGCCAAATATATGCAAAACATTTGTCCAAGTACTTTTTGCCTTTTGGGGAAAAGGAACATTATAGTAAGTTATTAGATGCTGCCATCTGCCATTCTTTATAAATAAATGCAATGTTGCAAATATTTGGCTTTGCCTCTTGAACTTTCAAATTGTTATGATGCAAAGAGTATATTGCACTTTGGAGACAATTTGAAACTCTCCAAGTAGAACTTCTCTGCATGTTTTTTCTTTACTTTTCTGAAAGGCAATTTAAAACATTTGATTAAAATATTTGTGATAAAAATATTGATTCTTTAGTAGCATAAAATAAAATCAAATGTTTTATAATATTTTTAAATAAAAAATGCATTATTTTTAGAAGAAAGAAAGAATGGCTTTAATTTGGATAAATAAAACAAAACACTTGAAAGATTATTCAGAAATATTTCCTATATGTTGTTCACAATATCCTTCTCTTATTACTACTGATCAGAAATAAATTTATTTGTTAATAAAATTATTCTAAAGGATCTGTTTATCTGATCACATCCATGGAGTGGCATTGACTCTATTGGTATAATGGAAATTCAAAATAGAATTTCTTACACTTGATGAATTTATAATCTAGCTAGTGACTCAAGAACACCTATAGTGTCCTGCATTCTTTCACACTCCATACTTGATGACACTTAAAAAAATATTAAAGATAAGTATTTAAACAAATAAAAACTTATTTAACCTGTGTTTTGTATCCTCTTTCCTCTTAGATATACATAAAAAGAAGACAAGAGGAACAAAAATTTGTGTATTTTATTAACATTCAATTAATTTCAGTTTGGGGAATATATTACACAACAAAAATAAACCACATTTGTCTGGATTTTTAAAATTTACAAAATACTTTGACACCCATCATTCTTCTGAGATTATGTGACTAGTCCAAGGTCACTCAGTGAAGATGTGAAAAAAGCATAACACTTGATGAAAGTATTAACAAATTAATTTTTACCTCAAATGGCTTTAAAAGGCATTTTACTATACTCATTTTAAAATTGTATTCTCTCACTCTGCCAGGTGGATAAACCTACTTAGCTAATTCTGCTATGCAAGCTTTATGTTACTAATTATTTTGTAACAAGCTTTTCGATAGTGTCAGAATCATAATTCTTACTGTCATATTAAAATTGGGCAGACCTTCCAAAATATACATTTTTTAATAAATGAAACAACCTGGAAATTTTGAAAATGCTCATTAACTTAGTAAACATAAGCATATTTAAAGTAGATTTTTAAAAATCTTTAGATTCCTTCTAAGTTTATGTGTCTAAGAGCCAGATACTTGGAATAATATTTTTAAACAGTACAACTTAGATGACACCTTTAAAAAATATATAGTGTGCCCAGCCAGGTGTGGCTCAGCAGTTGAATATTGACCTATGATCCAGGGGATCGAGGCTCAAGTCTCTGTCAGGGTGCATGCCTGGGTTGTGGGCTCGATCCCGGGTGGGGGGCGTGCAGGAAGCAGCCCATAGATGACTCCCTCATCATTGATATTTCTATCCCTCTCTACCCCTCTCCCTTCCTCTCTCTGAAATCATTAAAGACACATACATAAAAAATATATATTGTGTGATGTTTACAATATAGCGCATAGAAAACTAAAGAATTAAAGGTTTTAGACCTGAAGGAAAAGAACACCAATGATGAACGGTCCATGATATTGCTGAAGATCACTGGTTAACAATTAATTAATGGTATCATAACTGTAATTGTAGAGTGAATGTGACAATATTTCAAATATGAAGAAAAAGAAAACACATTTTTTTTCCCTATTCCTCGCATGGAGCTCTGAATCTAATGAGTTCATGTGATGGAAATTTGCAAAAGTACAAAAGAAAGTAATGTTGCAAAATAAATCAATTTTAACTGAAATTTAAAATAAAAAGTAAAAAAGAGATAGGAAAAAGTGAAAACATGAGCCATACTGATTCCACTATTAAATGACGGGTATCTCCTTTGAATAGAATTAAAGTTTAATCAAACATTTGTAAGTTAAGACTTAAAAAATAGAAATCTACAAAAACAAACATCTTATTAGAATTTTTTTCTTATTAAAATATACTCTTTGTGGGGTGTCTTTACAGGCTAAATTTTAAAAGCACATGGCATTATTGTCTTAGCCATTGTCAAATGAGGAATATATGAATCATCTCCACTGTTTCCTAGAAGACTTCTTCTTGCTAAAAGAAAACAGATCTGGAGCCTCTTTTCTAATTTTACTAAATGTCTGAAAGATGTAATAAAAACAAAATCTGTCTGCAAGTTGGTCCTTTATTTATAAGGTAGCACTTTGAAAGCTCTTCAGATTCAGTGAAATCTTATGTCCAGTAATACCAAATGATACATCTACTTTACAGTATGTGTTCAATTTGAAAGTTGTGCTATGTGTTTAAGCACCTAGAAATTTACTGGATAATAAAAGGATCAACATAATAAATTCTGTCAAAAATATTTTTAGATTCCCACTTTTTATAAGAATAGAGTTAGTCTTAGGATCTAATTACCAGGAACACTTAACTGGTAAGCACCACACGACACACACTGATGTACTTAAAAACTGTTCAAGCCACGCTGATGAATGACAATTATCATTTCAATGACAGGAGAAATTAAATAGTTTTAATTGGTGAGAAAATTTGAGGGTGAGAGGGTAAGAAGGTGGGAAGGTTTAGTTTAGTTCCACTGAACACTTTTATGATGTATAATGAGGCCAAATTGAACATTTGAGTTTAGTTAAATTAGAGAATATGAATTAGAAATATGAGAATTAAAGCAGAGTTGTTGCAAGACTTTGTTGTTTTGAACTTTGACAATATAATCAACAAAAAAATTCAAATCTAGCCCAGAAGGAAAAGCTTAGTCAAGTGTTTGGTGTATCATTGAAACAGGAAAAGCGTAAGAGAATTTGACTCATTTTGTGTCAATAAGATATGACTGAGAAGTTGAGGGCATATATTGTTGGAACCAAATTAATCCAAGCATATTGTTTAGTAACACTGGAAGTGAATTCATAAAATTATGATTGTCTCAGGAAAGTAAAAGATGTAATAGTAGCACTGATGAGTCTTTTATATCTGTGGTACCAAAAATTACTCTTCTTCTGATCTAATCCACAACTTTAATCAAAAAGTAATCCGTATATTGAAAATATGTCTATTCTTTTGAAATTTATTCAAACAGGAATTTTTAATCTATTTTATCACTTTTATACCACCGTTCTTAGTATAAGAGGAACAAAAAGTGCATTTGTAGGAATGCTTGGCTTTCCCTCTCACCTTTTATTTGCTTTTTCTATGTCCACATGACTTTCACTCTTGATCAAAGCCTCATAGAATACTTCGGAGTTTTAGGGAAAGTATGTTTGCTGGTTTCATAAGAGCTGACCCCAACATCTTTGAAGTTACCAACCTCTAGTGGTTACTTGCAAGTGCTGTGGACAAGTGAGCAGCCACAGGACCTATGCATGAAGGGAGAGAAGTGCTCCTTTGAGGAGCAAGTGCTGGGAATCCCACAGCTGGCTTCTGAGACACTTGCCAATGGGAGCAAAAGGACACTTAAAAAAATGAGAATGTTATGCTAAGCAAAATAAGTCAGTCAGAAAAGGCTAAGAACCATATGGTTTCACTCATATATGGGATATAAAACTGAAACGCATAGACACAGATAACAGTGTGGTGGTTACCAGAGGGAAGGGGGTGGGAGGGTAGTAAAGGGTAAAGGAGGGCAAATATATGGTGACGGAAAACAATTTGACTTTGGGTGGTGGGCACATAATGTAATATGCAGTTCAAGTATCATAGAAATGTGCACTTGAAATCTATATGATCCTATTAACCAATGTCACCCCAATACATTTAATAAAAATATGAGGAAGTTTTGCGTAAAATTTCACAATTCTGAAATGAAGTACTTTTGTGTATAACTAGGAACAGGAGAAACATACAACTATGATTAAGTGAAAGCTCTTGTTTTGTATTCTTTTTATAGGTCTTTATTTTTATCTCAAAAACATATTTTTCTTCCGGTGACCACTACATGTGAATTTTTTTATGTCTAGAAAAAGGTGTGGCATAGAGGTTATTTTCTATCTTTTAATTCATTGAAAATACATTGAATATATAGCTGTGGTAAAGAGTTGTGCTGAGTTTTGAGGGAATGAAACGAGAGAAGAGACATGATTCCTTATCTGAATGAGTATATAAATATCCTAAAAGAGTTTAAATGGAATATTTTTCACGTACACAGACAATACCACAGGTAGCATTCAGAAGCCTGAGTAATATTATTAATATAATTTAAAGTACCTTATCATTACTCTAAATAACTTCATACTAATTGGTTTTAATAGCACAAGTAATTAAATAACATTAACCTGGATATCAAGCAATGTATTTGTGTTCAAACAAAATAACATAAACCTTTATAACTTGTAATTAAAGGAAGCAATAAAATAATAAATGTATATGAGTTTTCTCTTAATAATAGTAAATTGTATTATTGACAAAGAAATGGAGTCATCTAATAAATATTTTTCTCTCTACTTAATAAAAATATGTAACAAAATACTAAATAAAAATGAGTAAATATAAAGTGCACATAAAGTCTATTTCTTTTCACATTTTTATAATAAATATCCCATAAAGTAATACTCTTAAAATGAAATTTTGAGAAAGTAAATACAACACAATTGAAGAAACATCAGGAATTTGAAAGCAAAAGGAAATAAAATATTACCTAATAACAGCAACTTTACAGTTCTTGCATCTCGCTCAGCATCTGCCTGAAGCTTTTTCTCCAGTTCTTTTGATCTTTTGGCTGATTCCTTACTCTCTGAACTAATCCCGCTTCCCATCGTGTCGGTTTATTTGCTCAAACTTTTTCAGATGTTGAGCGCAGCTCTGGTTTGAGTGTAGGATGCAAAAGCAGTTCTCTACTAAAGTGCCCAACAGCGCATTCCCTCATGCTCTAAGATTCTACTTTGACTAAGGAGATGCTTTCTGAGCTGTCACCTGATCAAAGGGTGTCACCTGATCAAATTAAATGGCCATTTCTGGTACATCTTTAAAAATCTGTTCATCTTCCTTAAACAACAATGTAGAAAGTTGTCAAAACCTATATACTAAAGATAATATGCAATGAGCAGTTCAAATGGAATGTTTCACACTGATAGGCAATCTTTATTACTGTGATTTTATGTTCTGTTAACTAAACAACAAGCTTGCATCTTATCTTCAGATATTTGAGTTTTCAAATTCTTCATAATTACTCTAATATTGCTGTCAAAATATTTATATTAAATCATCCAAATTTTTAGTCTCATTATGATTAGATTATGACACAACATTATTGAGACTCTCAGTATCTGTCAGTATCTAGGCAGAGACTCTCATATCTAGAAAACAACTTTAAAAAATGGAAACAGATGTAGTTCTTATGTTTATACATATTATTGTATTGTCACATAGACTTCAACACATGGTGCTCTTAAATTATTGATTTCAGTCTCAAAGGATGCACATTCATAAATTGAGCTTTTACTGCTCCCGAGAAAGTCAATCCATCAACTTTAATTGAGGACCCACTTGGTGTAGACACTGAACTGTGTTCAATTTTGGTAGTGCATTAACTCTTTGGGGCCATTAAGTAACCGCTGCTGTTCTGGAAGGACTTTTATTGATTTGGTATCAAGGGAATAAAAAGTAATGTTCTTTGAAACAGTAGGTAATTTGGTTCTTCCTGAAAAGTAAGGACAGTAAATATATTCAAATATGTTCCATGCCTTTCAACTACCACAAGAGATATCATGTACTTCTTGAAGATCTGCAAGCTTGGGGACAGAGATTATGTTGTATAATTTTTTTGTGTATATGAAGCATAAAGTTCTTGTTAGGTTGTCAATCAGTAGTTTCCTTAGAAACAGAGTTGGCTACCTGTAATTTTGGGATATGTGAATGTGTCTAACCAGAAAATGCGAGAATATAGTCCATCAACATGTCAGTGCTGTTCTTGTGGGGCCATGTGCAAAATTTGAACAGGTGGGTTTTTGCATGTTCATACAAAAAGGAAATAGGCTGCCAAATTAAATACATATTCCTGCTTTGTTTATTTTTTCACAAAAAATATCAAGTAGCAGATACATAAGCATAGTCAAAACTTTCTGAATTTTATCCCTCCAAAGCCATGTTATGATAATATAAAGCTGTGGAAACGTAGGTATACAAGAGTTTGTGCAAATCATGCAGCATTGCTTTTACAATGCAAATGGCCTGCCCCAAAGGAACAAGATTTGCGCTTACTAGTTTATTTATACTCGCCCATGAACAGAGTTTACTCTGCAGCAACACAAAAGAACACAAACATTAAAATAAATCTCTCTTTGCCTATTGTTCTTATATCAAAATGGAATATACATAGTACCCTGAATATATGATTCTTGGACCTTCCATAGCAACTATGAACTGACTAGATACGTTTTATGATTTGTATTCAAGTAAATATATCTCATAGCTTTTTGATGGGGACATCCCCTGGTTTTGAAAGGGTATGTGTTTTGCTAAATTTCCTAAGAGGGTTACTGACTAAAACTGATGAATTTTTTCAGGAGTAGAAATGTACATTTTCTTCATCATATAAAATTATGAACTACTTTTCAGTTAACCCAGAATCTTTAATTATCAACTTTATGAGATTATGATGTGATTTTTTTCATCAGTGACTACAAATTCTTGAAAAAAATTTGGTATCAAGGGAATATTTAGGGGAGGGATGTTGCATGAACCAGAGAGGAGAGGAAGGTCCCTTTCTCAGCCCTCTCCCCTGAGTGCCTGGAACACAGCTTCACTAATAAGCTGGAGTTTTAGTCCATGTTGCTTCACTTAGGATTACAGCTTTTTGGACTTAAGAAAATTATGAAAATAAAATATTAAATTCCAGTATAGTGGTGACAATATCTTATTAGCTTGGATGTCCTCCATATTGCTTAGCACGATGCTAGCCATAAGAAATGTTAAAAACCTATTTCTTGCCAATGAATTGATAGAGACTTAGTGTCTTTTTTTCTTATGCTATGCTGAGATGACAGTATGGTTAGAGTTTCTTTCCAAGGTTCAATGTTATAGTTGGTCTCTCTCAATATCTTAGCAATATTAGTGATTCAAAAAATTCAATGAAAAAGTCCAATGTTAGTCTGAAATAATGTCAATAAATACAATTACAAAAGTGATTCCAACATTTACACTGTTGATTTTTTGTTTTGTTTTTATCAGCTTTAAAAATAACATCAGCATACTCCTTTCCTATCCTTAAATCTTGTTCCACAGTGAGAGAAAATTGATAGAAGATAAAAATGGGAAATTAGATGCTTTTTATTCAGGGAGATATGTGGCCATAAATTCTGTTTGTTCTTAAAGACAAAAAACTATCCCAGACACTATAATGTTAGAGTTCCATATATTAGCCAGCTAAAAGAGATAGAATGCCTTGTGTACACACACATGCACACACACAAACTTGCATGTGCAACTCATGCACACACACACTCACAGAAGGCAGTGGACATTACTTTGGAACATGGTGATTTTTTAGGATAATTATTGAGAATGACTTCTAAGAACCTTGTTTCTGTGTGTGTGTTTTGAATCACAACATCACCTGACTGGGAATACCTTCTTTTGACACCAAGCTCTGCAAGAAAGAAACATTGACAAAGTAAAATACGGAGAATGAGCCCTCAGCTCTAAAGGTCAAGCCTGCATGGCATGAGTAAATTTTCCTCTGGCTATTTTAGGTAGAGGTCTCTGTGGAGTTTTCAGAAGGGATCATTAGCTTTTGAAAACTTTGAGTAATCGCTATTTTAAATTTATAATTCAATACCTAGCATATGGTGACATGCAATTATTTCCCACCTGCTTTTAATATTGAGATTTTAAACCTATGCTTTTGCAGATGTCTCTTTTGCCAGCATTACCTGGGCTTCTGCAATCATCAAGCTGGATTTCCTCTGAGTATGTGACATGTGACTGACCACAAAAAGTGGCTCCAAAGGCTCCATTTCCTTCTGGAAATTATCAATACAGGCTGCCATCTGTATTAGTTTTTATTTTGTTTTCATATCATATAGGAATTGTTTACTTGAAGCGCTGTGTCCCTGGGTGGTTTGAGTCCTGGCTGCCTTAGCAATGACTTTTATCCTTGCATATTCCCATGAAATTTGAGGCAAACCCTCTCTCCTTTGCTAATGGTACTCAAATGTGCACTTCTGGGAAATCTATGCATGGTATTTCCTCCAGATAGCTCCCGTCTTTTGGGACTTCCAAGAGAAGTCTTTTAATCTTGAGGGAATAGGGCAAGTTTCAAATTAGCACATTCAGATAGCACAGTATGTTTACAGTGCCAACATTAAGCAGCTCTTATGTCTTAAGAGGTAATGCAAATATGTATTTTTATTCATTGGGGTTGATTTCTCCCTTACTTATGCCACATACTCTTCTTTATGAATTAGGATATGATTATATATAATGATTTTTGTAAATAAGAAGTGTTATAAGCCTAATTGACAAAGAAGATGAGAGTCATAATTATTTCCCTAAGGGCCCCTTCTTGTCCCAAACTCTGTCTCTTTCAAGATTTTTCAAATATGTCTCTTTAATACAACATTTCCACTACATGTTCTCTTAATCTTATTTCTCAGTAATTTCAGTCCTGATTATTGCAACCACTTCCTGCTTAGTCTCTGCCCTATCCCAGTCTAACCTGTGTGTGGCAGGTTAAATTCTCTAAAACCCGTTTATTATTAACTTTTCTTGTTGAAAAGAAAAAAACAAACCCAAAGAACTCCTTGTTTCTTACTGCCACTTATCTTAGTCCTGTCACCATACACTCATTAATTTTGTTAGCAGAACCCAACAATGTAAATATATTTCCCGTTACTTCTCTGAACACACTCTCTATTTTAGCTGTGTTATTGTCTCTTTGCTAATTAGGCATCCCAATTTAACTGTCACTCATGCTTTTTTTTTCTCTCACTAGGAATATCTTTTTCTTCTGTACCTGACTTTTTCCCTAGTACCCATTTGGGTGATTCCTTACTTTCCAAATTCCTAAGAGGAATGTTCTGCCAGTGAATTTGTCCTTCCTTATTAAATAGGATACTTTTCAGTGATTGTGCTCTCTGATTCTTCTCTACTGTGTGCTGCCTCTAACCTGAGAGTACACAGAAGAAAATAGTGTTTATTGAAATAATTAGTGCCCAGCCGGGCGTGGCTCAGCGGTTGAGTGTCGACCTGGGATCCAGGCAATAGGGGTTCGATTCCCGGTCAGGGCACATGCCCGGGTTGTGGGCTGCAGCCGATCAATGACTCTCTCACCATTGATGTTTCTGTCTCTCTCTCTCCCTCTCCTTTCCTCTCTCTGAAATCAATAAAGATATATGGAAAAAAAAAGAAAGAAAGAATTAGTGAATAGTGAGTGATCAATAAATATATGGTGCTTGACAGCTCTTTGCTCCATCTTGGAAATACATGATTCTGCTTCCCAAATGATTGCAAGTGTGAAATATTACCTCTAGAATTGCAAGAATTTATTAATTCAACAACGATATATTCAACAATGGTTATATACCGAGCATGGAAGATTCAGCAGTAAATAAAATAGCCAGATACCTTCTTTCATAGGACTTGAATACTATAGTGTGTAAGTATGTAGGGAGTTCACACAGACAATAAACATGATAAATATTTAAAGTTCATAAAATTTAGATGGTGATGTTAAGAAAGAAAAACAAAACAAAACACAGACTGAACATCAGGAGTATAGGTGTGGTGGAGAGGATGAGAGATTACAATTTTATATAATATGTCCAGGACAGAACAAACTAAGAAGGTCATTGTTTTTAATTAAGTTCTCTGAAACTGAGTTTAAGA